GATATCTATCATTTTCAGATATGCAGGGTGACTGGTGACCTATATAACATAAACAGCAACACACATTTGAAGTAAAAATAATTACTTCTTTATCACCATTAGATCCTATCGATCATTCCTTTATTGAGCTATCTCCTCCTTTGACTTCTATGATAGTAAATTTTCCTTGTTTACTTTTATTTTTAAGACACATTGATGATCTGCTATCTTTATGCTTGGACCGCAAATATACTAATTCATCTAACTTGTTCCTTTGCTTTCTTAATTCTGCACAATGTACTTGGGAAGTCTCATCCATCCTCATACTGTTAATTGACACATGTCTCTGATGTCTGTGATGAATCTCTCAGCTCTTCTACATGTGTTCAGATTCATAGCCTTTATGTTCAGCCATCTATTAAGTTGATTTCAAATCCAGTTTTACTCTTAACTTTAATTATTTTTATCCATCCCCTTCTTTTTTGAATCCCCTCACCCACCTTGATTCCAGCTCAAGTCTGTTTAACTTTTTCATTATCTATCAATTAGAGTGAACCAGAAACATATTGTTCATCTTTCAATGTATACTTACTCTGTTCACAATTCTATCAGTCATCAAATCCTACCAATTCTATTTATGTGTGTTGTTTTCTCTCCTTAATATGTTATTTTTTCTGATCCATCCCTATTTTTTTGTTGTTGTTTTTGCTGGCCTTTGCTTTGTCTCATTGTTTCACAAAAGGTAAAGGTAAAGGTAAAGGCCCTCCCGTTGATCGTCGATTTGCTCGATCGGGCCCAGTAACGTCTCCATTGGAGACTTTGTTGTTACTGTGTCTGGCATATCGAATGCTCTCGGTAGCTTGCCAGGCTCTCTGTGAGGGGCGGAGGAATCGAACTCGGGTCGGCCATGTTGGCCGCGTGTAAGGCGAACGCCCTACCCGCTGTGCTATCGCTCCAGCCACTCTAAGACTTTCCTCATGAAGTCATACTTCTAAAATTCAGTTCTTTTTATAGAATTGCTTAAAATCCCACAAAAACTTGGTATTAATATTTATGATTATATACTTTATTTTCTAACTTTCTCTCTGGTCTTTGATTCTATCATTCTTTAATTTCCCCAAACATTTTAAGCTTTTTCATCCAGCTGTATTCAAACCACTGTATATGATTTTTCATATCTTTAATTTTTTCATTTATTGAATGAATTAAGTTTCTTCACACATTTGTATATTTCTTTGTTGATATGATTTTTACCCAAACTGTTTCAGCTCGCAGCGTCCTATGGGGGAAAGGCAAAGTCGCTGTCATTGTGAGCAAAGTACTTAATATGATGAAGTGTGTGATAGTGTTAATAAAATTTTTAAAGTGATTTTTTCTCGCACCTAAGGGATTTTAGAAGTATAGTACATATACAAAATGGAATACTCTGCATCCATAAGAAAAGATGAAATTGTGAAGTTGGATGCAAAGTGTGTGCAGCAGGAGGATATAATGTCAAGCAAAATAAGCCAAATGAATGACAAATAGTGGATAATCCCCATATATATATATATATATCACTGTAGCATTGTCCTCCCTTTGTTCATTGATTTGCTCGAGCAGGCACCAGTAACGTCTCCATTGTGAGACTTGTTGTTACTATTTTGGACAAATCGAATATGCCTTGGGGAGCTTGCCAGGCTCTCCCATGCTGACTGGATACTCTCAGTAGCTTACTGGGCTCTCCGAGAGGGACGGAGGAATCAAACCCAGGTTGGCCGCATGTAAGGCAAATGCCCTACCTGCAGTGCTATTGTTCCAGCCTATACATACATACATTATATATGTGTGTTTGTTTGTGTGCGTTTATATATATACACATATGTGTATATATATGTACACACACCCACATGGCAGAGCCTGACAAGCCCCCCGTGGCATATTCGATATGCCAAAAACAGTAATAATAAAAGGTCTCATTCCCCTGACTCTGAAAGAGCCTCAAATATGGAAGCGTTGGGAAAGACGAGTAAGGAGTGGCTGCTAAAATCTCAGGGCTGGGATGAATGGAGACGTTACTCGCACCCGCATAAGTAGATTGATGAACAATGGGATGACAGTGATATATATATAAGTATATATATATACAGATATAAAAGGACAAAATTTACAATATTGAATGATAATGAACCCATGGGTTCACTCTTGAGCTTTAGTATAAATGATTTGGAGGGAAATTCATGGGGATACAGTTTTGGGGAGGTGGAGTCAGAGCAGTACTGTACAGCATGTAAGGCATTTGCCTTGCTCATGGCCAGATTAGGCTCCATGTGTGGCACCACTTTCCCCCAAGTTCCCCAGTTATCCCTGAGTATAGAGACATAAGTAAGGTATGAGTACTGCCATATGAGTGCTTAAAACATCTGTAGTACCACTGTACCACCGTCCTCCCGTTCATTGATTTGCTCGAGCGGGCCCAGTAACATCTCCGTTGTGAGACTTGTTGTTATTGTCTTTGGCATATTAGATACGTTACAGGGATCTTGCCAGGCTTTTCCGTGTGGCAGAGTACTCTCGGTATTTTTCTGGACTCTCTGAGCAGGGCAGAGGAATCGAACCTAGGTCTGCCGCGTGCAAGGCAAACACCCTACCCGCTATGCTATCACTCAAGCCCATGGTATAGTGGTGAGTCTAAAACACCAAAGAAAAGGAAAAATAGAATATTGGGAAACGATCTTGGGAACTTTTGTGAGTAAGGTGTGTTAACTGTGTACATCAAAACCATTAACACTTACATTAATGTAAAATAAAATAAAATGTTTTAATTTTGCTCATCTTTGCAACTACTTTATCAGATGTAATATCTTTCGGCCCTTTTTCAGAATGCTTTCTTAGGCTGAAGCAATAGTACAGTCGTAGGGCGTTTGCCTGGCATGCGGCCTGCCCAGCCGACCAGGTTCAATTTCTCCTCTCCTCTTGGAGAGTCTGGCAAGCTACCGAGAGTATATTGCCCGCTCGGCAAAGCCTGGCAAGCTACCCATGACATATTTGATATACCAAGCACAGTAACAACAAGTCTCAAAGTGAAGATGTTACTGGTCCCACTGGAGCAAATCGATTAACAATGGGAGAACAGTGCTATAGTGCTGCAATAGTGTCTTGGGACCTCACCAGGCTGTACCCAAGATTTGCTTATTGCTCTATTCTCAGGGATCATTCCTGACAATGCTTTGTTGAATCTGTGATCAAACAGTGGTCGGTTACTTGTACAGTTAACACCTTAACCCCGATATCATCTCTCAGATCACTTGTAATGTAATATTTAATACAAATGTTGGATCAGTTTTCTAATGTTTCATTTTGACATCTGAGCATTTTTAGAAATTAATTGGATTGTATTGTTAAATTATAATTAGACACACCTAGAGTTGTTAACGACAACCTGAGTTATATCTGTCACAGCATGTAACCTTTGAATTTTCAAATTCCCCCAAAGAATTTAAATTAATATGATACAGATCTAAAAATTAAGTAGTTCTCTTTATTCTTTCCGGATACAGCAAGTTTAAGTTTGCTTGAAGTATTTGTATGTATGTTTTCCCCACACTATTAATAAATATGTATACAGTACTATATACATATAGCATTTTTTTCACTCTGGAATTCTGAAAAGTCCCTTTTCAATCAGCTCTTTGCATAATACTCCCTGCATACATTTTTAAGATTAATGTTTCAATGCAACTTTTCACTTAAGTCTATTGCTTTAGAATTGAGCAATATTTTTTTTAAAATACTCTTTGAGGATTGTATATATAAAACTTTTAGAAATTACAATTTTGTTGATTCTTATCAGGATTATAGTTACCAGGAAAATAGACTTCTTGTATTTTGGTACCTCAGTATCAGAAGATACGTAATGCAAAATTCATTTTCCAATTTCAGTACTATTTATGAACCTCTGTCACAATAAAACAGGTAGTATTTAATTTATCATGCAGATCCTGTTAGGTTTTTGTGTATTTTAGTTGGTCTTAATCCACACAAATTGATGTCTTTGAGTTTACCATACCAACAGTAAATTACGTAATCTCAACATAGGTTTTCCCTACTAAACAGCACTAGATCATTCCTATGGTTGTATGCCAATTGGTGCCAAGGAACATGGAAATGCCATTAATTTTGATGTGAAAAGGCTGCCTAGTCTATATGTCTGCATGGTACAAAATTGTTCTGAATAACTAAAAGCGAGAATGAACATGATAAGTGTATCAAATGAATAAAGAGTAATTTCTGGGTGCCTGACAATGATACTTTGCAGTCCTTTAATAATGCACTGCCTCTTTAAGAATTCCCTGAGAAACAAATGCTGAATTCTTTTTAGGTTTTTGCCTTTCCTTCATCACAGTACTTTCTTTTGAGCTTCTTTGATTAGTTGAAGCAAGAATTAATTGTAGTTATTTCATTAAATCCAACTAACTTATGTGAACTTTCCAATAGTGGAAGATACTCTTCTTCATAAGTTTTGTCAAAGTACATTCCTTAAAGTTTGTTAATCATTTTAATCCTCTCTCAAAATTAATATTGATATGTTTAATGCCATGTCTTAGTTTTAACTATATTTGATTTATTTTGCAAACGTGTAATAATATAAACTTTAGGTCTACTGTAATTTCAGAATAGATGGTATGAAATACATAGATCAAATTTTTCAATGAAGGCTTATATATATTTATAATTTTGATTTTACTTAGAGTTTATTAGTTCTTGGCACTATGTAGCAAAGCTTGATATAATTGAAATTTGTCATTTCACATTTAGATAATTTTACATCACAAATGTTTGTTACTTATACTTTACTTATACTAATACTTATACTATACTATAGTATCAATCTTATACTATAGATTGATAATATTTTCATTATATGAATTTTTCACTTTTCTATGTTTAGATACCTTTCATGATTATATGAATATATTAAGTAAATATTTTGTTGATTTTAAAAAAGTGTTTCTTCCATAAAATTTTCTTTCTAATTGCAGGTGGCTTGCATGCAATTTATAAATGCCCTTGTCACATCTCCTTATGAACTTGATTTTCGAATACATTTAAGGAATGAATTCCTCCGTTCAGGATTAAAAGTGATGTTACCAGTAAGTTGAGTGTATATGCTTGTTGTCCTGTCAAAGTTTAACTTTTCTCTCACACTTTGTTTTTGCTAGTAAAGGAGTTATATTTAGAGAAAGGTAGAGGTAGATGTAGGAGAAACAGACAGGCATATTCAAGTTGTTTGAGAGTAAACAATGTGTTTATCCAGGGGAATATTCTAAGATATCACTTCTAAGGTTGAGGTCTCTAAGTTTGAGAGTGCTCCATAATGAAATTTATATATCTCTGGTTGAGATCTAGGTTAACCCCAGTGAGAGACTTTGCCAACATTTTTCTGTTTTCAGAAAATGAGCTTGCAGCAGGGAAAATAAATATACTTTGCTCTTTTGTTTTGTAAAGCATCAAACATTTGTAACCATTTTAGTTGCATTGATATCGCACAACTGATATTTCAGAATGCAACTAATGGTATATACCTAAGTGATTTTGTAATCTTCCTTATTTTGAAATTTTTATCTTAATTTTAAATATTAATAACCAAGGTATCACTACATTTTTCAGTTTTAACTTTATTATTTTTGTTTTCTTATATATGATTTAATTTGTATTCAGCATAAATATTCAAATATTTTTACATAAATATATTCCTGTTCTATTACTTAAGAATGGCGTTCTTTCTTCTTTTTTTTATTTTATTGAATCACCATGAGATAGTTACAAGCTTTCATGTTTAGGTTACAATCACACAATGATCAAACACCCATCCATCCACCAGTGCACATTCCTCACCACCAATATTCCCCGGTATACCCCCCCTTTCCCACCCTCTACCTGCCTCCATGGCAGACATGATTCCCCATAATCTCTCTCTACTTTTGAGCATTATGGTTTGCAATACAGACACTGAGAGGTTATCATGTTTGGTCCTTTATCCACTTTCTGCACATGAATGCCATTCTTTCTTGAGATATTCAAAAGTAAGTGTGAGAATAGAAAGCAAAAGACAGAAAAAAGTTATCAATGAGAATGTGCTTTAACCAAAAATATTTGAATATTATTTAAATAAAATATAATTAGGGCTATTGAAACTTATTTTTAAAGCTGTGTGATTGGAATAGAAATATCTACATAATTTCCACTTTGATTTATTCTTTAATTCGTGATATTAAAAAAGAAGGAAGTAGTTATAAAAAGTCTAAATGCAAGTAAACTTTTTCTTCTGAATATTGAATTTTTTATTTGATAATTATTTACTAGTAGTAGACATTAATTTATATATTCTACATTATAGACAATTTGTTAAATTGTCTATAATGCCATATAAATAATGCCAAATGTTAAATATTTTCTGTTAGTAAATATTCTATATTAGAGTTTTATTAAATTTTAATTTTATTATATGTGAATATATTTTTTTCAAACTTGCAATTTTGAAGTTTCACATGTATATAACATTTGCATGCATATTTATTTTGTAGGCCTAGGACCTCATTAATATGTAATATTTAAAAGAGGCACTTTCCCCATATTCTTTTGTCTAAAGTACTACATATGTTTATATATAATTTAATATGTAATCAAAGTAGAGAGAGAATTAAGTAGAAATCATCTGCCTCATAGGCATCAGGAGCGGTGGGAAGATATGCACTGATGAAGAGATGGGTAATTTAATAATTTAATATAGAAATATTATCTTGTAACTAAAAGTTAAACTGAACCTATAATCTCTTATTATCTTTGGAAATATTTTACTCTTACAGTTTGATTCTATGGTTAATAGAGTCCTGATTCTTGGTTAATAGAGTCCTGATTCTAATAAAGAATTAGGATTTATCATTTTTTTTAGTTTTTCAGTCATATTGTGTTCAAGGTAAAAAGTGAGCACCTATGAGAGAAAATAAATTTTGATAAGAGGATAAGAAAAAGTTCGTATTAGAAAATATGTAAAAGATTGTTTTGCAAAATTATCAGCTCAAATGTATCTGTCTTCTGCTCTTTTCTGAATGGTATTAATAAATTAATTTGTTATTATCAAATGTAAATGTTAGGTAATTTTGTATTCTAATACATTTCTTCAAAAAACTAAATCTAAAGCACGTTATTATAAAGAGAATACTAAGTGTTAATGTATTGATTGGTTATATGTCTATATGAAATTATTTAGAAACTTTTAAGTAGTTTCACATGCACTTAGGTGACTTTTCATGCAGTATTATATACATGAATGTTTTGCAATTAACATCTAGAAATTTCATTAATTTGTGTGTCGCAATGAGACCTTACACATACATTTTAAATTATTTTATGTAATAAAAATAGAAATAAGAACTGCATCCAATTTTGTTTTATCTGCATAATTTAAAGAATGTCATGCTTGCATTTCCTTAAAAATTCAAGCTTTGCTCGGAACATCCTAATTCCTTTCATTATCCTTAGGCGTCTGCAGTTCTGATTATTTTTGGGGGGTTTGAAGCCACAGCTTTAATGGACAATTTTTTTTTTTACTTTTTCTTTAAATTTATTTATTGAATCACCGTGAGAAAAGTTACAAAGCTTTCAGGTTTAAGTCTAGATCATACAATGATCAAACACCCATCTCTTCATCAGTGCATATTTTTCACCACCAAGAACCCCAATATACCCCTCTTCCCACCGCTCCTGATGCCTCTGAGGCAGATGATTTCTACTTAACTCTCTCTCTACTTTGATTACATTCATTATTTCGAGAAAAGATGCACCGTTATTATTTGGAATTTCCCCCCAACAGTCAGAAATGCTGAAAAGGCATTGTGAAATAATTTGTTTTCTATTGCTGGTTATGAAGACCATATCATTTTGGATTTCTTATATTTTACTAATTAAGTCTGGAGGGATTTCTGCCAAAAGCTGGATAATTACGAGATTGGTTTGAGTGCCTCTGGGCCATGGCCAGTGCCTGTGCTGGAGAGCCGCTTGCGGGGGGCAACTTGTGGCCTCTGTAGGGCGTGAAGGACTTGCTAGTTCCACCCTTCTCACCCCCCATCCCATGAGGCTGCAGTTGCCCTGTCACAGCCGGTTCATACCTGGCTGTCCAATAAGCTCTGAGGCAGCAGGCACCTTGCTGCTGGTGGGGGGTGGGGGTGGGTGGAAGAGACAGACACCCTTTCCCTCCTGGGGGTCGGGGGCACATGGCACTGTACTTTAACGCATAGTTGATTCACATTTCTGGTGCAAGCTGCTGGGTTCTGAATTAGGTGCGTGTGCCTCTAGGGCCATGACTGTGCCGAAGAGCCAGTTGTGGAGGGCAACTTGTGGTCTCGGTAGGGCGTGAAGGACCAATGGACACATTTTAAAAGATAATACAACAGTCTCTAGTGGGACATGTTTGAAAAAATTTTGTTTATGCCATAATTTTGAAATTCATCTGTAATTTATAATGTATGTGCTCATAATACATTACAACAATAAATCCTTGATATTCAAAGATTATCAACTTGATAATCTTTGAATATCAAAGATTTATCAAAGAGTATCAACTTGATACTGAAGTTGGGATTTTGTGGTTAAATTAAGCAAAAATTAAAGGTCAAGAGGAGCCTAGAACTGTAACTTGGTAAAATTTTTTGAAGTCTTTTTGTAGTAAAATCATTAAATATAACTGAAAATCATTTTTTATGTAACTATTCATGCCATAATTGGGGATACTGTGTTTGGATATGTTGTTGAATATGTTCATAATGCTGTTAATCTTTTTTTTGTTTTTACTATTTTATTTATTGGACACTTATTATAATTGCATGAAGTATTTTGCATTCTTTGATCATTCAGTTTAATGCAAAAGATAACTACGTTTAATGGAAATGCACTTCCCACTGTATTATCACTCTGGGCCAGTGATCATTATTTTTCTTAATGTGAATTATCAAAATTTGGGATTTAGACAGAAAATACTTTGAGTGCTATACAGTTCTTTTTTGTTAAATGGAAAAGTATGTTGCATTTGTTTTATTTCAGGAAACTAAGTGCATGGTTAGTATTTGAAATTGTTTCTGTGTATGTTAATGAATAATAGTGTTCCATCTTTTGTTAAGTATTATGTTGTCAAACTATTTCTTTTGTGTAAAATTCTATTTCTATATATAACAGGATCTAAAAGACAAAGAAAATGATGAACTTGATATTCAGTTGAAAGTATTTGACGAGGACAAAGAGGATGACCTAAATGAATTATCCCACCGTCTCAATGACATTCGAGCAGAAATGGAATATCCTTTTGTTGAACCACAGAGATCATTATTTTATGAATATGTGGATGATTGGGGGGCATTATTAGAGTTCTTTTCTGCAAGACCTGTTTATGTCCGCATACTTATATCCATATAGCAAAAACTCACTATGATCTTGTTCCTTGGACTTCATTTTGAAAAATTGTCAAAATACAGTGATGATTTGTGCAGTCTATGCTGAAATTAGCACAATACCTTGCTTTGGATAGGTACATTGTGCTCAGTTGTTTGAATTGACATAGGACTAAGGCCATATTCCTTCCATATAAATTTTTTGTTGGAAAAAGTTCATGAATTTCTAAGTTGGTTATCTATTTTTTATTTTTTATTTTTTTGTATGAGTACTGCTATTTATTCAGCCACTGATAAGCTGATTGAATTGGGCATGAACTCCACCTTAATTTTTTAAAATTTTATTTATTTGTTTTCTTTTTATATTTATTTATTGAATCACTGTGGGAAAGGTTACTAAGCTTTCAGGTTTAAGTCTCGGTCATACAATGATCAAACACCTTTCCCTTCACCAGTACTCATTTTTCACCACCAAGTACCCCAGTATACCCCCCTCCCACCCCTCCAAATGCCTGTGAGGCAGATGATTTCTACTTAACTCTTCTTTACATTGATTACATTTATTATTTCGACAAAAGATGCATCATTATTGTTTAGAATTTCCCCCCAAACAATCAAATTGCTGAAAAGGCATTGTGAAATATTTTGTTTTCTATAGCTGGTTATAAGAATCATATAATGTCACGTGGCCACAATTTGGATTTCTGCAAAGAGTCAGATAATTATGAGATTATTTTCTGTGTGTCTGGTGTTATGGCCGTGCCGGAGAGCCGCTTGTGGGGGGTAACGCGTGACCTCGGTAGGGCGTGAAGGATGTGCCGGTACCGCCCCCCTTCCCATGAGACTGCAGTTGCCCCGTCACGGCCGGCTCATACCTGGCTTTCCTATAAGCTCTGAGGCGGTGGCCACCTTGCTGCCATGGGGGAAAAAGACGGAAGGGACCAATACCCTTTCCCTCCTGGGGAGGCATGGCACTGTAGTTTAATGCATAGTCCATTCACTTTTCTTCTACAAGCTGCCGGTCTCTGGACTAAGTCCTTTTGCCTTTGGAGTCAAGGCCATGCCAGAGAGCTGCTTGTGGGGGGCAACTCATGACCTTGGTAGCACGTGAAGGATGTGCCTGTTCCACCCCACTTCCTATGAGACTGCAGTTGCCCCTTCACTGCAGATTCATACCTGGCTTTCCAATAAGCTCTGAGGTCGCGGCCACCTTGCTTCCTGGGGGTGAGGGGGGGGGTGGGCGGGGAAGGCGGACGGGAGCAACACCCTTAACACCCTTTTCCTCCCGGGGAGGCATGGTGCCGTAATTTAATGCATGGTCCATGGTTATCTATATTTTAAAGCTCTTGAGGTACTTTCATTGTATCTATCTTATTTATCAAAATGTCTATATCCCTATGAACTTCTGGGCAGAATACAATTTTTCATCTTTCCTTTTAATTTTATCACAATGTGTTTGTGTTATAATCTTTGAATGAACCTATATGCAGTGAATAACAGTTTTTGATTATTATCAGAAATTATTTTATAATATATACATCACCATTTGTACTAATCTATTATGTTATATCTAATATTAATTTTATATGAATTAAAATCTTGATTTCTTGTATTGTATAGAATTTTCTTTAACCAAACTTGGATTGAAAGTTATTTTTAGATCTATTCTGTAACCATTCAAGGGAACTTATGAGATACTTATGAGATCTAGCAGTTTTATTTGGAGTTTAAGAAGTAATGCATCATATGCATAAGTGTACTTCTGAGACAGTGTTGACATTTTATGTTATTTTTAGAATCTCAGATTATGTTGCTGTGTTTTCATTCTTTTACATTGATTTTTCTCTAAGTCCTCACTTTTTATTATAAAAGTGAATACAATCTTTGAAATTTATTCACTAATTTACTGAAAGAATTTAGGCTTTTACCTCTCTATTTATACTTATGCAACTTCAACTTCCATGTTCTTTTATATGTTTTTAAAATATAAGTGAGTATAGGAGAATTCAAATAAATTCAGATTTCATTATTATCTTATGTATATAAGGGATTTTAATTTTTATCAGTTCATAAAACTTGTAATTACCTTGTCTCCAGGTGGCAGTGAAGATAGTGCAAGGCTAGGGCCTGGAGTGACAGCACAGCAGATAGGGTGTTTGCCGTGCATACGGTCAACCCGGGTTCGATTCCCAGCATCCCGTATGGTCCCCCGGTCACCGCCAGGAGTAATTTTTGAGTGTAGAGCCAGGAGTGAGAATTGCTGGCTGTGACCCAAAAAGCAATAAATAAATAAATAAAAGTAGAGTTGTAGATTATATGAGTTAATGTAATTCCTTCATTACAATCATAATAAGATGAAGAAAAATCTTTTTCATTGATGACATTGTTGTTCCAGCGGTACAAACTTTAATCTAGAATTCAAAATATTGTTTATAACCGTTTAAGGTTTTGATGGTCTTACAACAGTGCCTAAATTCATTTCTTTCACTAATGTGAAAGAAAGACTAATGTGCTTCCCTAGATTAAATTTCTTTATGTAAATGTAAAACTACTTCTGTATGAAGTTGATGATTTAAAAATTGTAATGAATGAAAATTCAGTATTTTTAGAAATAAAACTACTCCCATTATGTATGCAACTTTCATCAATAATCTTTAATTTTTCCTTGACTTACTTTCCACTGATATTAATGAAGTGTACCACCTTCTGTATAATATGTTGAAGGACACTGCTGCTGAGAATTACCTATTATCTATTCTACAACATTTTTTGCTCATAAGGAATGATTATTACATTAGGTAAGCAAAAGTTCTGAGAGTGATTCTTATGTAATTTTATTCATATATTATGTGAAATTTGATAGTTAATTGTGCCTTAGACAATACATACAAGAGAAACAGATTTAGAGATATAGATTATTTTGACAGAAATAGATACTTTTTTAAAAATGCATTCATTTAATATTAAATAGTTAAAAATAATAGAAAAACATGCCTTTTTTTTGCAAACCACAGCACCCAAAAGGAGAGAGAAAACAAAAGGGAATGCCCTGCCAAAGGGGTGGGGTGGGATGAGGTGGTGGGGGGCGGGAGGGAGACTGGGAGCACTGGAGGTGGAGAATGGGCACTGGTGGGGAGATGGGTACTCAATCATTGTATAACTGAAACCCAAGCACAACAACTTGTAAGTCTACAACTGTACCTCATGGTGTTTCACTAATAAAAATTAAAAAAAAATGATACACTTCAGTAATAGAACTTCTAATAGAAAAGAAAACAGCACATTTTACTGACCCTGTGAATATTTTTTGCTAAGCCTTGAAAGCACAGAGTAGGCTCTCTAAAGTCTATGATAGAATTTTTAGGTGCTCACACACTTTAATAAGATTTACTGTTACAAGTTTTAGTGATTAAGTCTATGTATTATCAATACTACTGCCACTACTACTATTAAGCCTTTGTATTATTACTACAAAGAATTACTACTTTGAAAAAAATAATACTGAGAAAGGTTTGTGAGTGACTGAAATTATGCATTAGAGATCATCATTAAACTGATTTAGAGACTTTTAGCTGTTCTTCATATTCTAGTGTTCATTAAATTCTGACAACCTATGTTTTCTGGTTTCTCAATACTTTTAATAAAATGGAAAATTCCTGTGGTGTCAAGTATAAAAATGACATTTATTAAACCATATAGAAAACTATTTTGTTTTAATCTAGTAAAATGACTTAAAACCATCATGATATTACAGAAGTATAGAAAACTTTTTAAAGTATTAAAACATATGCTGTAGTTTAAAAAAATAGAAACCTGAATGTTGTGGCCAACGAGATTTTACAGTGAGTAACTTGCAAACATCCAACATGTGTTTGATCCTCAGCACCAACATATAGTGCCCCCAGCCAACCAACAGTGATCCGGGAGCTCAGCGCCAGGAATTAGCACTGGCATAGCCTGGTATCACCTACAGACAAATACAATATATAAATAAATAAAGAAGTAACAAACAATTTAAAAACTGAACTGCTTTTACTATGTTTACTATATTTTAATAGTAAAGGGCACATTGGCTACAGTCAGTCATTTACTTGGGAAAATCATGTGTGTAAAATTATCTGCTTCTGAGTAAACTGGAGTGGGAAGTTCTTTTAAATGACATCATTTTTATTCTGAAAATATCAGCGTAATGTGGACATATAACAAGCATTTTCAGTCTACTGATAACTTTGCCTTAAGTGTGAATGACAATATCTTTTTTAGCTAAGGAATAATTGATTAGAAAGTATAATTCAATCTTACCTACCTTTAACTTTTTGATAAGTTGAAAAAGCTTCTGATATGTAATGGTAATATATTTTTGAGACTACTTTCATAATAAAGAGAAAAAAGAGATATTAGTTCATTTGCCTTCATTTCTGATTTTTAGAAATTTGGCAAGTTACTAATTTTATGGATATTGATGTTATAATTTGCTACAGTAGTATTTTTCTGATCTGTACCTGTTGACTTTATTAGCCATATATTTAATACAAAAGTGTTTTTTAAATGTCTTGAAATTTCCATCTGGTCCTTCTAAAGACCATAATTACCTTTTTCGATTACAGAATTAGGGTATGTTCAAAACCGTTGATGCTTTTAACATATTGAGGCCATGATAGTGCATATTAATTAGGCATATTAATTGTATACTAGGGCTATTGCCATGCATATTAATTGTGTATGGTTTTTAAATATATTAAATATATGTTATAAGAGGATATTTAAAATAATCTGTAAATAAATAGCTTAGTATTATTTTATAAGATGTGTATATCATGGATAAAAGCATAGTATACTCAAAGATATTGCCTGCCACCTTATTTACTGAAATGAATTCTTTGTGGATGCCTTTAGCTTTCTATATCTGTACGATGTATATAGAAGTAACTGGTTATTGTTTTGTATTTACTATAGATACAATAACTTCATTTGATAGATAAGTTAGGTAAGTGTCTTTTGAGCACAAATTGAATCCCTGAAAGGTAGAATATCAAGTTACTAAATTTTGCCATTGACTCTCTCATAGTGGATTTTATTTTATAATGTCAAGATTATCTCCAAATTTAGGCATATTTCTCATAATGAGGGTATAGTGTTTAAAATAATTATTTTCTAAAATAATAATGCTGCTAGTGCTAGGAAAATGCTTAATTAGTTTTTCGTGATGATTACTTTTTTAAAAATATATTTGTATATGTAGAAATGTATTAATGAATGACTTTTCTCATTTTAGGCCACAGTATTATAAAGTAATTGAAGAATGTGTTTCTCAGATAGTGCTGCACTGCAGTGGTATGGATCCAGATTTCAAGTATCGTCAAAGACTAGACATAGATTTTACTCATCTCATAGGTATGTGATACTAAGTCCTTTCCCATTTTATTGTACTTCACTGTATTTTGTAAATGAGGCACTTCTACATCAAAATATTTTTAACAAACTTGATTTTATTTGTGAATACTTGATCACTATCATCATTAAGTTTATCAGGAGCACTCTGCCTGTGTAATTGGAAATTCTCTCCTAATTTGCAAACTTAAACATTATTTCAGATTAGAATCAATGCCTCCACCAAAATACATGTTATTTTATATTTATACTACAAATAATTCGACAAATTCTTTGATTCAGTTTGTACTCATGTCTTAGAAGTCTTCTAATACGTGTAATATAGGCTCTAAATAATAAATTGTAGCTATAGGATTTTTTTGCTGCTTTTGTCAGTTTTTTTTTTCCACACCCTTGATGCTCAGGGATTTCTTCTGTCTCTTCTTTCTCTCTGCTCCTGGACCACTCATTAGGGGACCATTTGTTCTGCCAGGGTTTGAACCATTTTAGCCATGTGCAAGGCAATCATCCTAATCACTGTACTGTCAGCTCACAGCTAATTTTAAGAATTTAGCTGATAAATGGAACCTAGTATGTTCTCAGGTAGTTTTTTTTTTCTTTATTGTTTTTAGGAAAGAAAAAATAATTTCCACCTTGAACACTTTGTACATGGGTTTTCTCTGATTAATTTTCCTCTCCTGAAAAGGTCCATGCAAGACTCATTGGCATGTCTATTTTTCCAGTGTGATTTTGTGTGTCTGAGTGTACCCTATTTGCAAAAGGAATCTTGCCCAGGATTGCCTCATACCTTTCACCCTGAATTTTTGGGATAGGCTTAGGCTACATGTAACCCAAACTTGATGTAAACAATTAAGAAATGGATCTTAGCCATTTTGGTGATTTTTTTTCAAGAGAAATGTTCTGTTTTTATCAATTAACTTATACAAAAATGAATGTGTATTTGGGTAATTCTTGGGTAGTCAAAATTTCCAAGAACCGACATATGAGTTTAGGTGAGGCTTAGTGAAATAGCTTATTTCAGTACAATTTTTCTGGTTTTTGGACTGCCCATTGTGGTGCTCAGGGCTTACTTCTGGCTCTGTACTTACAGTTCTTGCCTAGTGGTGCTGATAGGACCATATGGGGTACCACATGAGTTGGCTGCCTGATTGTCAGTTGCCTTACCTGCAGTATAATCTATTTGATCATCATTTCAGTAAATTATAATATATTTTAATTCAAACAATATAGAGCAATTTATATTGTCATAGATGTGGAGCTCAGAAAGAATTGGAGGTAATCCTATTTTTGTATTACATTACTAAGGACATTACCTTGTATCATATCATCCTGGACCAATTTCTCTATTTTTCTGATGCAGTTTCTCCAAAATGATGTAAAACTTCTCTTTTGAATTATACTATATTATATAAAGTTATAGTTAGGTATTTTTATTCATGTCTAATGAAAATCACCTTTGATAAGATGAACTCAGTTGCCTCCTCTTTAAGGGAAACAACTATTAAAAAATTCGAATTATTCTCTACTTTGTTGGGAGTCCCACAGTATTATAAAAATATTAAGTTCTTGTTTTTTATCTTACATTATTATTATATTATTTAAAAACCAATCTTCATGTATTCTGGGCAATCTAACATATATTTATATGGAGATAAAATAATGCACCAATATAATTTTTGTGCCCCATACACCTCACCAGCATAACATACTTTCTGTTAGTAACTTTTCATCTATGTATGATGTATGTTTTTATGTGTGATGTATGTATGATGTATGTATGTATGCATATATATATGTTTTTAATGATATATTATGAAAAATTATCTAAATTGGACTTCAAAACATAACTCAAGGTCAACATAATATTCCATTATTTTAGGGAATAATGTAATTATGTTCACCAATATTTTTATATATATCTAAGTTGCTTTCAAGTCCTCACAACCTTGTGTATAATATCTTAATGTTTCCAAGAAGTGCTTGGCTCTGGGATCAGTTGCAGTGCTGTAGCACTGTAGCACTGTCCTCCTGTTCATCTATTTGTTCAAGTGGGCACAGGTAACGTCTCTATTGTGAGACTTGTTGTTACTGTTTTTGACATATCGAATATGCCACAGGTTGCATGCCAGGCTCTGCCGGGCGGGCGGGATACTCTCAGCAGCTTGCCGGGCTCTCCAAGATAGATGGAGGAATCGAACCCTGGTTGGCCGTGTGCAAGGCAAATGCCCTCTCTACTGTGCTATCGCTCCAGTCCACTTGCAGTGCTATTGAACCAAAATAGCCCACTGGTTCAATCTTATGGTGAGGGCTGTGGTGCCTAGTGCCACTAAGCCAACCATAGTGGCCTTGGAATCCCATTCGGCCACCCCTTATGTTGCTCAGTCCCCACTTCAGCTGCACTGAATGATACTGATGAGGTCATGTGGTGCCAGGTATTTAATTCAGGTTTGTTTCTGAGTTCTCTAATTCCCCACTGTTTTCCTTAAGATCAATTCTTGTAAGAGGGGTCGAACTTTGAAAGGCCAAATGTTTTCTGAAATTTTTTGACAATTTACCTTGTCTCAAACATTGATGTGATTGCTAGGATTGCACACCTTTTTTGACTAAATTGGATAACTTGGATATATTGGATAAATTGGATAAATTGTATAAATTGGATATATTGGATAAATTGGATAAATATTGGATATATATTGGATAAATATAAATGGGATATATATTGGATAAATATAAAATATATATTGGATAAATATAAATTGGATAAATATTGGATATATATTGGATATATTGGATAAATTGGATAAATTGGATATATTGAGTGATAGCACAGTGGGTAGGGTGTTTGCCTTGCACGTGGCTGACCAGGCCAACCCAAGTTCGATTTCTCTGCTCCTCTCAGGAAACCAACAAGCTACTGAGAGTATCATGCCTGCACGGTAAAGCCTGGCAAGCTACCCGTGATGTATTAGATATGCCAAACAGAGTAACAACAAGTCTCACAATGTTACTGGGCCCACTGGAGCAAATCAATGAACAACGGGAGGACAGTGACAGTAGAGAGTTTTTTTGTGACTTAAAATATTGATATTGGCTTATGATTTATTCTGGATCATAATTGTCACACACGTTAAACTTCTACATTTGACTCTCATTCATCATTCAGTTCATAAATTTTTGTATGCTCTTGTTCAGATACTTAAGGATGTGACCTGTTAATTTAGTGTCATTGAGTGGGGAGAGATGGATGGGTTAATTAATAAGTGATTATTCAACATCAGAAAACTATTATGACTTCAGCATCACATCATCATTCCTGTGATTATGACCAAAACATTTTCTATGACTAGAAAATAAATTTTCTAAATAACTTATTAATATTTGATGTTATGATTTATTATTTTAAAAATTGTATTTTTTTCCAAAACTTATTTTTTGGCACTGTGATGTCTACAATAGAGTTTCAGATTTTTAGTGTCCATTACTAATCCTAAAACTAATGCCAGCTTACCTCCACCAATCTTCTCATGTTTTGTTCTACCCACCACAATCTGTCTTTATAACAGACATATTTTTAAGTTTAATTATTCTGGTTGAGGTCCAGTGCTTATAATATTTATAGTTCTCTGTTTTAAATAAATGAATATATCACATTACACTTCATTAATGTCCAAGGCCCTTGACTGTTGTCTCTGTTAACCCTGTTCACCACTTAAAATATTATTCATTTATATATATATGTATGTATATGGTTTTGTACCTTAAATATTTATATTACTAAATTAGTATAGAAAAGTGGGCAGGAGCAATAGCACAGCAGTAGGGCGTTTGCCTTGCACGCAGCCAACATGGCCGACCCGAGTTCAATTTCTTTGCCCCTTTCGGAGAGCCCTGCAAGCTACTGAAAGTATCTCACCCGCATGGCAAAGCCTGGCAAGCTACCCGTGACGTATTCGATATGCCAAACACAGTAATAAGTCTCGTAATGGAGATGTCACTGGGCCCGCTTGAGCAAATCGATGAATAACGGGAGGACCCTGACAGTGACAGTATAGAAAAGTAAAAATGTATTGTCTGATATTTGGGAGATAATGCAGATAAATTTCTCTTTCATAGAATTTTATGTAAAACTGATAGCTTGTGTAATAAATTATGAGGTGTACATCAAGTTATGCTTTGAATATGAACAGTTATCTTCTACTTCTATTTTAAACAGATTCTTTTGTGAACAAGGCAAAAGTTGAAGAAAGTGAACAAAAAGCAATGGAATTTTCCAAGAAGGTAAGGCTTATAAATTAGTAGCCATGGTTGTTAAGTAATTGAGTGAAAATGTGTAAACATCCCTTGTTTTTTTATGTTTCCATTTTATAATATTTCAGAATTCTATATCCAGATATAAATGCAGAATACTTTCAGCTTTTCTAATAAATTCAAGGTATTGCTATTCCTTGCTTGCCACCTTTTAGCCTATTATAGAAAAACCACATTAGAGATGTACAAATAAACTTATAAATAAAATTAAATTGCTGGAAGGATATAGGTAGAAGCTATCAAGCAAAATTTACATTTTCCATTCCTATAGTTCTTACTGATAATATTTCTCCATGGAGCACTTTTAGATATTTACTATTAGATGTACAGTCTTAAAGAAAAGCATTTCTATTGATAGAAGCATAATGATACAGTATTTTCTGTATCTGTTTCCTTAAACTTACTTACTCTGAATTTTATAATTGTCATTTTTTAAATATTGCTACTATTCCAGGTAGACATGGCAGGATTTGAGGTTCTCTATGCCTTTTGTAAGTGGTAACTTTATGAGCATTTTTTATTTTATTGAGGTGTAAAATTTTCTTTTCCATCTTACCTGAAAGTATGATTCAGTTGTAACTATAATCTACTAAAAACACTTTTTCTTATAGACTTTATGAAGCTTTTTAATAGTATTAAGTTTTTTTGGTGACAGGTAGAAGAACTGAAATAAAAGTCTAAAAGCTCTCCAGTGTTTAGCCTCTGACAAGAAGATAGTATTTATGTACATCTGTCTCTTTCAAGTTATGATTTATCTTGGAGATAAGATGATCACCTTTGTTATCATTCAAGAAATTACAGAGTGTTATTGAAGTTACTTTAGGGTGTCTGAAGAAATAGTTTTTCTCTCTTAGTTACTAGAATAGATTTTAAAAGTTGGAGCATAAAGTGTTTGTGAGAAGCTGTCAATTTTTGGAGTGAAAGAAATTGTTCACTTTTTGAATAATAGACCTTTATATTTATCACATAAACTTTTTGTAGGTAGCACACTTTTCCTATGAAAATTCTAGATTTTCCATTAATGTTTTAATGTTACTATGCTTAGACCGAACAATATCGGAACATTTTTGGTGATCCAACTGGAAAGTATATTTTCTAAGTAGCAATTATGTTAAATAGCTAATGAAATATTTAAGAAATTAGATTTCTGTGCAAGGCAAATGCCCTACCTCTGTGCTATCGCTCCAGCGATATACCAAACACAGTAACAAGTCTCATAATGGAGACGTTACTGGGCCTGCTCGAGAAAATCCATGAACAACTGTAGGACAAAGCTACAGTGCTACCAAAGATTTCTGTGTTTAACAAATTTTATTATTTCCAATATTTAGAATGAAAATATATATGATGTACCAGTGATTTTCTTTCTCTTGTTATTCTGAGTTATTTTAACGGGTTGTCAAAAATGGTTTTTAAGAAAGTGCTAGAATAAGTAACAGTAGTTATAAGGTCTGATCTCAGCTTTCTAATTAGCTGTGATTTTAAGTAAGCTGCACAAGTCTTGGATCTTAGTTTATTCATCATTAAATGAGAGGATAAATTTAGTGTCTTTATAAGAAGTCTTCTAGTTTATGTACCTCTTTACATTTACAGTATATGTCTTTGTATATTAAGTTAATTTTAAATATCAGTCAAGAATAATATATCCCTTCTTCAAATAGACACCATGGTTTACGAAGCATATTTGTGAAGCTAACTGTTAGAGTTAACTTGGGAATATTAGTTTCAGGGAATTTGTAACATATATGATAGTGCATTTAAATACGCTTATATTGAGGCACTTCCAACTTCTCAGTGAAGAAGAGAGTAAGACTGACTAAAGGATCTTGGGAAGGTTTGACATTTAAAGAGTTTACAGAAGACTTGGAACAATCTCCATGGAAAACCTCTAAATAATTTAGTGAAATAGAGTAAAAGAATTATGTAGTATTTCAGTCAACTATTAATATAATTTACTTGTCCACATTTCTTCAGACTTATATATGAATGATACATTCAAATATCTGAAGGTCAAATCTAGGATTATGAATATTAATAGTGTACCTACTTAATTTTTCTCCCACAAATTCTAAAGACAATTCTAGGTGGTAAGATATAGTACTTTTGGAAACAAGTAATATATAGAATGCTAAATCTTGATGTGATGTTGGCAATAAAGAACAAATGAAATGTTCTATAGCCAGTCACAAGCATTTTTCACACAAATTGTGCTTTTTGCTTGCTAATGTTCTGACTAAGTCCTCGGCAAAATGCAGAAAATGCATATTCATTATTTAAAAGGTCTCTATAGGATAGTACTTTGTCATTCCAGTCTATCATTTTTCCTTCTTGTAATATCTGATACATGGGTTTTGACTAACCATCTGAAGGAGAATGTCATTACAACATTCTACCATAGGAGTTCATGGAGCAACATTTTTCAATGATAGTCAATGAAAATTATAATAAACACATTTTAATTTGATTAATATGCATAATTTGAGAATTCTAGAAGTTTAACATACATAATTTGAAAGCTCTCAAAGGTCCTACTGATTTTTAAATCAAATTCATTGTAAGCGGTCTTTTCACAGAATTTTAATTTAGGCTTTAGAGGAAAATTCTAAAATTCTTCTCTTTTCAAGATTAAATATGGTTAAGGAATTAACTTGCTTAAATACTGATGGTTAGGTTTTATTTTCGAATTTAGTCAGCTGAAATTTAATGTGTCAATGTTAGTTAATTAGTTATATCTCATTGATTTTTTTCAATAATAATACAACAAAACTATTGATCATATGTGAAAGGAATCTTTTCATTCTTGAACTTAAATTTTATTTTTTCTATTTTTCAAAAAGGAAATGAGTTTAATTTGGTTAGATGTACATTTTCTCTTTACTTCCATTTTTTGAGTGACTTGGGAATTCAGTGCACCAAGCACACTCCACTTATTTAATTAATCTTTAATGTTTAAAGCCTCCTTTAAACTATAATTAAGTATACTTAAGGTGTTAATCATTGCAGTTTGATGAAGAATTCACAGCTCGACAGGAAGCTCAAGCAGAACTTCAAAAGAGAGAAGAAAAAATCAAAGAGCTGGAAACAGAAATCAACCAACTTCGAACCCAGGTAATGAAACAAGAATATGTGTCACATTAGCAATGTAGTTGAAGATAGAAAATTTCCTCCTAAGATATAAGGAGAATGTTAATGACAGTGGGTTTTGGGGCAGTTTTTCTTCGTCAAAATAATTCTTAAGTTTTTTTTTTTCCTGAGGCAGTTAAAACAGTTTTGTTTTTGAATAAAAATGAGAGTTTTGGCTACACAAACTTTTCTGGGTATTTTTTTTTGCTTTGGGGGTCACCCCAGCAATGCACAAGGGTAACCCCTGGCTCTGCACTCAGCAATTACTCCTGGCAATGCCCAGTGGGATACTGGAAATCAAGCCTGGTTCAGCCAAATGCCCTACCCTCTATTCTATTGCTTGAGCCCAATCCTGGTTATTTTTGATGCACAGTAAATGCTATACGCATGAAATTTTTCTTGAGTTAAATTTTTTTCTCATAATTTGTAAAACTAATGTTTCTGATTTTTTTCTTGAAAATCATTTGGAAATGCTCATTTATTTTAAAATTTGACATTTTCATTTATCTTTAAATCTTGAACACCCAAATTTTTTAAAAAAAATTTATGTAGGAGTACTACTATTTATTCAGCCATTGATTAGCTGATTGAATTGTGCATGAACTCCACCTTACTTTTTTTTCATTTTTTATCCTGGCAAGCTACCGAGAGTATTGGATATGCCAGACACAGTAACAACAAAGTCTCCAATGGAGACGTTACTGGGCCCGCTCGAGCAAATCGACGATCAACGGGAGGGCCTTTACCTTTACCTTTTATAATTTTATTTATTGAATCACTGTGACAGCAGTTACAAAGCGTTCGGGTCTAAGTCTTGGTCATACAATGAAATACCCTTACCTTCACCAGTGCCCATTCTCCACCCCCAACAACCCCAGTATACCCCCATCCCAAACCCTTCCCCAACCTGTGGGGCAGATGATTTACACATTAATCTCTCTCTACTTTGATCACATTCAATATTTTCACACCAGACTTATTATTATTTGAGATTTTACCCCAACACTCAGATCTGTTGAAAAGGCAACAGTAGACAATTTGTTTTCTATTGCTGGTTATGAATAACATGATGTCGCGTGGATGCAGTAGTGGCTGCGCGATTTTGAAATTCCAAAATTTTAACACTTAAATCTGGAGGGATTTCTGCCAAAACCTGCTGAGTTCCAAGATTTGCTCCTTAGTCTCTGGGATCATGGCCGTTAAGCAGCTTGATCAGGAACCAGAAAGGCCATTCGTGGGCAATGACTTGGGGTGGGGAGGACAGGACCAGCTCCATCCCCATTCCGTGAGGCCCAAATGTCTCATCACTGCGGGCCCAAACCTGACTATCCAATGGCCTCTGAGAGATGACTGCCACCGATCCGGCAGGGAGAAGCAGGCGGAGGGAGAACACCTTTTACCCCCCTGGGGTGGCCCGGCAACAGTAACCTACTGCGTGGTCCAGATGCATTTCTGCCAAAAGCCACTGGATTTTGAGATTTGTTTCTGAGTCTCTGGGATCATGGCCATTAAGCAGCTTGATTAGGAACCAGAGAGGCTGTTTGTGGGCAATGACTTGGGGTCTTGTTGGGACGGGGAGGACAGGACTGACTCAACCCCCATCCTATGAGGCCCAACAAGTTTCGCCACTGCAGGCCCAAGCTTGACTGTCCAATGGCCTCTGGAGGATGGTGGCCACCGAGCCACCAAGGGGGAGCAGGCGGAGGGACAGTACCCTTTCCCCCCTTGGTTGACCTGGTGACAGTAAGCTACTGTGGGGTCCAGACACATTTCTGCCAAAAGCCACTGGGTTTCGAGATTTTTTTCTGATTCTCTGGGATCATGGCTGTTAAGCAGCTTGATCAGGAATCAGAGAGGCCATTTATGGGTGATGACTTTGGATCTCGTTGGGGTGGGGAGGACAGGACTGGCTCTATCCCCATCACTTTAGAACCAAAATGTCTCATCACTGTGGGCCCAAACCTTGATTGTCCAATGGCCTCTGAAGGATGACGGCCACCGAGCCGCCAGGGTGAAGCAGGCGGAGGGACAACACCCTTTCCCCCTGGGGTGGCCCAGCAGCAGTAACCGACTCCGTGGTCTGGACGCATTTCTCCCAAAAGCTGCTGGGTTTCAAGATTTGTTTCCGAGCCTCTGGGATCATGGCCATTAAGCAGCTTGATCAGGAGCTAAAGAGGCCGTTCAGGGGTGATGACTTGGGGTCTCGTTGGGGAGGGGAGGACAGGACCGGCTCCACCCCCCATCCCATGAGTCCCTGTGTATCTTGTAACTGCAGTCCCAAACCTGACTGTCCAATGGCCTCTGGAGGATGGCGGCCACCGGGCCCCCAGGGGGAACAGGCCAAGCCACAAAACCTATTCCCACCTGGGTTGGCCCAGCACCAGTAACCTACTGCAGGGACCGGATACATTTCTGCCAAAAGCCACTGGGTTTCAAGATTTGTTTCTGAGTCTCTGGCATCATGACCCTTAAGCAGGTTGATCAGGAGCCAGAGAGGCTGTTCGTGGGCGATGACTTGCGTCTCGTTGGGGTGGGGAGGACAGGACCGGCTCCACCCCCATCCCGTGAGGCCCTGTGTGTCTCGTCACTGCAGGCCCAAACCTGACTGTCCAGTGGCCTCTGGAGGATGGCGGCCACTGGACTGCCAGGGGGAACAGGCCAAGCCACGAAACCTATTCCCACCTGGGTTGGCCCAGCACCAGTAACCTCCTGCAGAGACTGGATGCATTTCTGCCGAAAGTCGCTGGGTTTTGAGATTTGTTTCTGAGTCTCTGGGATTATGGCCATTAAGTGGTTCAATCAGGAACCAGAGAGGCCATGCCTTCAATTATATAGCTGAGCTGTAGATGGTTTGTGGGTGTGTTTCACACATACCTAACTTCTGGCCATTTACTTTCTTGGTAAACTTTGCCCCAAGTTTTTGGGGTCTGGCCAAAGGCACAGCAGCAATTTTGGGGTATCTGGAAGTGCGAAGGCGCCATCAGCTGCTTATGTACTCACCTCACATGTACAGATTGACCTGCTGGCAGCACCATACCCCCTGAACACCCAAAATTTTAAAACATATAAACTTTAATTTTTCACTTATGTTTTGGATGTAGAAAAGCATATAGATATATATACATATTTAATATATAGTTAACTGTATATTATATATTCATATACACGTATATGTATATAATAAAATATAAAAGCATATACATATATACATATATAATATACAGTTAACTGTAGGATATCAAAACAAATTTAAACTTTAGAACTCAATATAGTCTTGCTAAAATTAATTTTTTATTTTTGGGCTGGAGCGATAGCTTAGCAGGTAAGGCATTTGCTTTGCATGTGGCCAACATGGCTGATCCGGGTTCGATTCCTCTGCCCCTCGTGTTGAGCCCGGCAGGTTATCGAGAGTATCGCGCCTGCATGGCAAAGCCTGGCAAGCTCCCCGTGATGCATTGGATATGCCAAACACAGTAACACCAAGTCTCACAATTTGTTGTGATCCGTTACTTGTGCCCGTGCGAGCAAATCGATGAACAACGGGAGGGCATTGCTACAGTGCTTTATTTTTATTTTTATAATTAATTTACAGTGATATAGACAGTTTCAAAGCTGTTCATGATTCGTTTTTAGTCATACAATGTTTCGCCACCCATCCCTTCACCAGTGTGCATTTTCCTCCACCAATACCAATGTCTGCAGTTTCCTTCACACACACACTTTCTAATCTACCTCTATGGCAGGTACTTTTCTTTCACTTTCTCTCCCCTCTCACTCTTTCTCTCCCTGTCCACTCCCCCCCCTTATGTGTCTGTGTTTGTCTTTATCTCTCTGTCTTTTTTCCTTTTGCCTTTTGGGGATTGTGGTTTACATCATCGGTATTGAAAGGTTATCACGTTTTAATTAAATTTAAAATAACGGAAGGCAATCTTTTAGCTTAGTAGGTCTTTCATATTTAAGTTAAATTATTCCATGTGTGGGGGGAAGGGGTGGTCACACAACACTGTGCTCAGGGCCAACTTTTGACTCTATGCCCAGGTATCACTCTTGCTTTGACCCTGGGGAATCATATGATGTACTGGGGATTGAATCAGATTTGGCATATGTAAGACAAGCACTATACAATGTATTGGAAATGAATTCAAGTGGTCTGTGAATTCCCTATTACCCAATGTTGTGGCTCGTTTCTACCCAGAGCCTGTTTTACTTACTTATCATATCACATCATTTATTTACACTAATCCTTTCACCTTTTGTATTATCTGACTTTTTTCTTATTTTCTCTGATGATTTGGTATTGTTTTCAGTATCTTTATCACTCTAAGAGCTAAAATTTCCCAGTGATTTTTCTGTTCTTTCTTTCTACATGTACTTGGTCTTATAACTCATTCATTATAAATTCAAGTATCACTTTTTACTCTTGTCAAATCTCCTAAATTTTATTACCTATCTAGCTCTACATTAGCTCAATGCATAGGATTGTCCTATTGTTTATAAAATTAAGTCCATAATATGTGATTTTTTTGTTTTATTTCACTGAACTATGGCTTCCTTGTTTAGATTTCACTACAAATTATTTTGTATGCAAAACAGTAATTTTCATTGCCTTTCCCCTGCCTCTCCCCCTCCAAAAGGCACACACAAATTAATTTTTTCAAGGGCCCGGCATGTGTCAGTTGCAAAACCTGCGTACTTTCAAATATAGGACAACTACATATGGTTGTTCCTATAGTTCTGCTCTTTAGGGTCCCTAGTGTTCCCACAGTTTCTTTTGTAGCCAGCTCTGTGTAAACACCACAGCTAAGTGTGAGCACTCCAACCAGTATATTCTTTAGAACCATAGCTAAAGAGTATGACCACTTGTGAGTATGTTTGTAAATACCTCCACCACCACCACCACACCAAAAATGTGAAATTCCCTCATCTCCAATAGCATGGCAAAGTATTCAGAGCACCATAACTAAGTGCATGTGTGTACAATCCCAAATCACTGCAACAGTCAACGGGAAGCAAAGGGAATCAAAGTGTCAGTTCTTTTTCTGACATTTTTTCTTCTCTCAAAACCCAGAATATCTAGTGCTACATTCCTATCCCCACCCTATAGTATAGTAGTTGTTTTCTCTCCTTTTTCTCTGACTGTTGTCTTGCCCTCATCAAAAGGGCATTTCTGACCAAAAGATCTTTTGTAGCAGTACATAATTAATCTTCTTATAAACACTGTCCATGTGATAAAAGAGATTGTACAGATTGCCTAGCCTGTGGGATGACCCAGGTTTAATCTCTTTCACCTCATGTTCCCTGAGCACTGCTTGTATGGGTCAAATAAATAAACACTCCTGATTATTGTCACTAGAGGCTTCAATGTGTTCTCTGGCCGCTATTGCACTCAGGACTAAATACAGCTCAGTTTAAATAAGATAATGTATATCTACTTGGTATTTGAAGACCTTCTATTATGGGGTATCTTAATCTCTTCTGCAGTTTCATCTCTGATTTCTCCCCTCACTGTGAATTCTCTTATAGCTGTCACGTTTATTCCCATCACATTTAAAGAGTACTGTCTCTTGCACTTTAATTTTATCAGAATTTCCTAGACATTTAAGAGATGTTAGCATTTTTTTTTCATGAAGAAAGCATCTCATAATACAATAAATTGGGCATACTTGATATACTCTTGGAAATTAGTAATGATCATTAGCATATTAATAGACCTTAGATATCTTATTTTGATGAAACCTGAATCTCTTTTCATAGTTTTTCCAGACTCATTTAACCACAGAACTCTTCATCTTGGAAAACATATAAATTTTCCTGAAAATAGTAATTTTCATGGACCTTAGTTGAGACACTCCAACTTATATTATTCTTGGTCAGAAATGCCCTCCTGTGCTCACCTTACCTCTGAATTATACCCTTTAAGAGGATGAATTTAATAAAATGTCATTTGGAAGTCTTTTTCAAAATCCCCTTTGTAGAATTTTTCTGAACTCCTGTGTCATTATTTTAGCTCAGTCATTTCATATCTCTGTTCCTGATGGATTTCTTCCACTGGAGCATAAAAAGCAGATTGAAGACAGCCTCAATGCATTATTCTTATTCAACACTCTAGTGCACCTAGAACAAGGCCTTTACATTTACTGAGTTGCTTATTTATTGCTAAATTAGCTGATCCATAACACACCATTTTCTAGTAACCTAAATTATGTAAAATAGTGAATGATTAATTTACCATATTCACTGCTTAGTGCCTGATTTCATAGTTCTATTATTACTAATTTTTCAAAAGAAGAAAGAAAGTGCTCCTAAATTTGATTTTTTAAAGACTGGTAGCACTTAATTTAAATAGAACTAATTCTTTTTTATTTTTAACAATTAATGTAAATAAGATTCTATTTTAAGTAGTATTTTTGTTGTATCTCTAATTTCATATTATGAACATGATTTAATAGAGGCAAATTTGACTAATTTTTATAGTTATTTATTTTGATATCTACTAATCACAAATGGAAGGTATTTTGCCTTTCAAATTATTTACTAAAGACATAAACAATTCCTATGGGGGGAAATGTCTAATTTCTTAACGTTTTCAAAAATTTAACGCTTCATCAGTATTTTCTTGAAGAAGAGATTTACTTGCTAAAATAAAATGCTACTAAAATAATTTAGGTTCTAGTAATATATTTCAGCAGTAGGCCACTTAACAGAAAAAAATTGAGACCATGGGTTTCAGATCATCACCATACATACAAAAATAATAGTACTTTTTCTTATTCTTATGCTATATTTTATTGTTCCTTATATCACTAAAGGTTTGTTATTTGTTAAGCATATAAATACTTTGCCCCCTATTCTTTTTTATTGAATCAACGTGAGATACAGTTACAAAGCCTTCCTGATTGAGTTTCACTAGTACAATTATTGAGCTCCCATCCATCTACCAGTGCACATTCTCTACCACCAGTATACCCTCCCCCATTTTCAGCCCTTCCCCTGCCTCTATGGCAGATAGTTTCCCTCAGACTCTCTCTCTACTTTTTTCCTCCACTCTTGAAGCTTCAGTTCACAGGTCCTCTTTGCAGCATCATAGGATTTATTTTCCATTGGCGATTTTCTAAATCCTTGCTTTGTTTCATTATAGTCCACAAATGTGCACAAAATCTTATGAGAAAGGTTTTTTAAATTTTTGTAAATTTTTTTTGCTTCTTGGGTCACAGTCAGTAATGCTCAGGGGTTACTCCTGTCTCTGTACTCAGGAATTACTCCTGTAGGTGCTTGGGGGACCAAATGGGATGCCCTGGATTGAACCCAGGTCGGCCGCGTGCAAGGAAACGCCCTAGCCACTGTACTATAACTCCATCCCCGAGAAAATTTTTGATCATCTTGTCTCCTCCTGATCATTAGTTTTTAATATTCTTATTAATTAGCCAGCTTTTATGTTGGTTTTTAAAATATATACTTCCACTTTGTAAGTATATTTCTATGCCTCATTAACACAGTTATGTAGTTCAACTGGCAAAATGATGTCATTAAATAAGATTTTATCTTCAAATAAAAATAGTAGTATAGATGCCTGTTAATGGACCGATGTTTGATCCCCATCCCTGCATGGTCCCTGCACATCACAAGGTGTAGCTGTTGGAACCTCTCCACACTGACCAGGTTGTTCTGGTTATCTCAGACTATAATGCCTGAGCCAAATCACATCTTTATAACCTCTCAGTGAACCATTATCCTGATAAACTGAATATCATCAGGAGTCCATGGGTCTCTGAGAACCAGTTTAAGCTCACTTCACTCCCCCACCTGCCACTAAATAATACTAGACAGAACCCCATCCTAAAGAGCATAACTCCTAAGATCATGAGAAATCACACTTATATTGGCATTAACTTCACACTTAAAAGGGAGGGGTTCAACCACTGAGGTAGAGATAGAGGCCTCTGCTAGGAGTTTCTTAAACAAAATAATAGAAAATCACTTCAGTTTTATCTTAATGTACTTTAGAAATTATAGCATTATGATAAACATTTGTTTAATGAGATAATACAGATTAATAAAAATATGAAATATGATATTTATATTCATCCGTTACCTATCATTATGCAACTTGAGTTACTTTCTGGTAGTAAAAATAATACTCTTTTTATAATTCATCTGTATGGATTTCCTTAATGACAAATGATACCAATTCATTATAATGTATTGAGATAATGGAAAGAGGATCCCTTTAAATGTGAGATGAACCCATTCATATTTGAATCATACTTTCAAATGTTTTATTACTAAAAGTAACTGACATCCATGGGAATCATAGCTGTCACTGTCACTGTCACAGTCACTGTCCTCCCGTTGTTCATTGATTTTCTGGAGCGGGACCAGTAACATCTCCATTGTGAGACTTTGTTGTTACTGTGTTTGGCATATCAAATACGTCACGGGTAGCTTGCCAGGCTTTGCTATGCGGGTGAGATACTCTCCATATCTTGATGAGCTCTCCAAGAGGTGCACAAGAATCAAACTCAGATCAGCCATGTTGGCTGCGTGCAAGACAAACGCCCTACCTGCTGTGCTATCGCTCCAGCCTGGAATCAAAGCTGTGAATACTTTTCCAGGGTAAAATATACTAGAACATTGTATATTTGGAACATTTTATACTCTTATATTTAAATTTCCTAATCTTCCAGATTCAGGCAGTCTGCAAAATGTTTTTATTGAATGCTTGTGTATTAAAGGTAATTTATAATTTTTAGAAGTGTTCAACATAATCTCTGATTATCACAACTTTCCTAACATGAGTTGTAAGAAGAGGCAATCATTCTTAACATGAATTTTAAGGAGAGGCAAATATTGATCAAGCACATAATGCTTTTCAAAACCTACATGTCCTTTGCATATGTTGTTTAACCGTTGCGTATCGCTAAATTAAACATATGTGATTGCAAAAAACCGTCAACTGTCTAAACAGCTTTCTTTATTGCTCTATTTTATTGCAAGCATTTAAACAATTGGTCATTTCTGTTTCAGGGACATGGCCTTTCAGGTGCATCAGGAATTCCGGTCCCTCCTCCACCACCTCCATTGCCCAGTGGCGGCCCATCTCCACCACCACCACCACCACCTCCACCTCCACCACCTCTTCCTGGAGGAGCTCCCCCTCCACCTCCACCCCCCTTGCCTGGAATGAGTAGTATACCACCACCACCACCAAATTTGATTGGGGGTCCTCCTCTACCACCTCCTCTAGGAGGCATTCCTCCTCCCCCAGGAGCTCCACTTGACCTGCCTTACGGAATGAAGCAGAAGAAACTATATAGACCTGAGGTTTCCATGAAGAGAATCAATTGGTCCAAGGTATCACTATGATTGTAGGAGGTGTGGGTGGTGTTGGGGCTCGGTAGCTTTATTTAGCCTAGTTGACCAATTAGGTGATAATTGCATTTGCTATATATAGATATTTTTATACTTTTTAAAAATTATTTTCATAATGTTATTCACAATAATTATTTGCATTCAATATTTCAACACCAATCCTACACCCATTATACCTTCCTACCACCATTTTTTTGAGTTTTCCCACCACTGCCCAAGCCCACCACATAGGCAGATACTAAATAATTTATTTTATATTGCTTATTATGAATAATATGAGATGTTGTGCTCCTGGAATTCTGATTTTTTTTAATATTTGGGGTCTGGAGGCATCTCTACAGTGTGCTGGTTTCTTCCGAGATTCGTTTGTGAATCTCTGAATCATGGCCACTAATGCCCTTAGGTATGACAGCTGTATCTTTTTTTTTAATTGTTTGAGTCTTGGGGGCATAATTTACTGTACTCAGTGCTTACTACTGGCTCTTTGCTTACATATCACTCCTGGTGGTACATGGGATGCCAAATATGGTACCTGGAATCAAATTGGAATCTATAGGCTACGTGCAACATAAGCATCCTACTTGCCAGTCTTTGTTTTTCTTTGTGAGTTCACCAAGTTATATTCTTTCTTTTTTTATATTCTTTCTTAATATACCTAGATAATTGGAAATTTGATAGATAACTTGAAATTAATGTAGAAGTTATAAAGATAATCAGATTGAAAGTGCAAGTATGGAATATTGAAAATATACACACCAGATGCAATGTAATTTTGAATCCTTTATCCTTGTTTACTTTAAAGCCTTTGGAATTCTTAAAACCATATATATTGTATATATGTATAGATGTGTATATAACAGTGTACTGTAGCACTGTCCTCCCATTGTTCATTGATTTGCTCGAGCGGGCACCAGTAACATCTTACAATAAATTGTGAGATTTGTTGTTACTGCTTTTGGCATAATGAATATGTCATGGGTAGCTTGCCCAGCTGTCCGAGAGGGGCGGGGGAGATATGTGTCTATATATATATATATATATATATATATATATAGATAGATAGATAGATAGATTGATTGATAGAAAGATATATATATATATAGATATATATCATGCTTAACTGAAATCTGCTGCCTTAGTTATTTGTGTTACTTTAGAGAGTTCTCAATCCTCGTACTGTACCAAAAAAATTTTTGAGAGCTTACAGATATGACACAAAAACAAACTATAATAAGCAAAGAAGAGAAATTTTGTCTTTAATTGTAAACTATTTTAAAAATGCTATTAAATAGTATTTTGTAGTGCATTTTGTATTAGTATTTTGTAACTGCCTTTTATTATGATCTTTTACAGTTTATTGAAATATTATTTTGATTTATTTTTGTGAATTAGTATGGTCTATTAAAAACTTTTTGTTAAGATTGGCATGGTTAATGCTTATCAGTAGGAACTACTCTTATTGAAAATATGATCTTGGCCATCAGTAAGGTAAATGATAGATCCAAGAACATATTTGAAGTGACAAATGACACGGCAATATAATAAATTGGTTTGCCTAGAGTGAATGGCAAGTCGGTTTTACTGGAAGTATAAATAACGTTAAAATACAATTTTATTAGTTCCAGTCTGCCAATATCTAATACCCAGAACGTTTCTGCCCAATTATGTGTTTGCGACTATAATATACTTATTTATTACTTTTTTACCTAAGACTTTAATGGTACTTTTATATACCAAAATGTACATAATGTTCAAGTATATATAATCTACAACTCCCTTGACCATTGCTAGTATGTCTTCCAGGCTGCCCTGTGTTTCACCGCCCTATCCCACTCCATTTCCTCCTTTCTTTGACATTATCATTTCTATATTCCAAAGTCCAATGGGTTTCCCATATTGATACTTTCCACTTTCTTGTCTTGCTTCTCTATATACCATAGATTAGATATGTTAGATCTTCTTGAATTTATCCTTGTCCCTCTGCCTTCATTTCAAATGGAAGATGTCTCCAGTTTCATCCAAGTTGCCTTGAACTGCATGATTTTATCATTCTTTATGGCTGTGTAGTATTCCATTATATATGTATCTATTATTTTATATACATATATATGAATATTTTATCCCACTTGTTGAACTTTTGGATAATTTCTATATCATGTCTATTGTACTAAAAGCTAAAATTGTCTTAGGTGTGCATAAATCTTTTTGAATGCCTTTTTGTCTTGTTTTGGGATAAATGCCAATAAATGGATTTCTAGAAGCTCTTTTATTACTTTTTTAACAAGTCTTTCTAGTAGATTTAAAAATATGACTTTCAGTATGGCCAGCTATCATGTGCTATTTCATTATAGGAATAGAATTATTATTTTCTCAATGAAAAGTTACTTTGACAAAAGGCATTATTTTTTATTCTGAAATTGATTTTCTGGATAATGGAATAGAGTAACTGTTAGTCAACTTTGATTTAACTGAATCCTTTGAAAACTTAAATATAAGTTATTTACAAATACATCTTTCTTATATTTATTTCAGATTGAACCCAAAGAATTATCTGAAAACTGTTTCTGGTTAAAAGTTAAGGAGGAGAAGTTTGAAAATCCAGATCTTTTTGCAAAATTGGCACTGAATTTTGCTACCCAGATAAAAGGTACATTTTTTTACTATAATTCACTATTTACACCTTGAATGACGCTGTTTGCCAGAAATATCTAGGAATATGTGCATACATCATCTTTACTCACTATACTAGGTCAAGGATTAATTTATTGATTAAGAATTTCAAGGACAGTAGGTACAAGGGCCTGGACAATTTCTCCATAGTTAGAAGCCTGTCTCATGAGCGGGGGTGGGGGGGAGGCAACTGGAATATAGAAAGGATCACTAAGAAAATGAGGGTTGCGAAGCTGGAGCAATAGTACAGCAGGTCCGGCGTTTGCCTTGCATGTGGCCGAACTGGGTTAGATTCCCAGCATCTCATATGGTTCCCCGAGCACCACCAGGAGTAATTTCTGAGTGCAGAGCCAGGAGTAACCACTGTGCATTGCCAGGTGTGATCCAAAAAGCCAAAAAAAAGAAAAAATGAGGTTTGGAGGAATCAGTTGGGATGGGGGATGTGGGCTGAAAGTATATATAAGGAGCAAGCATGAGAACCTCTCATTATCTGCATTGCAAATCATAATGCTCAAAAGTAGAGAGAGTATGGGGAATATTTCCTGCTGTGGAGGCAGTGGGAGGGTAGGAAAGGGGGAGGGTACTCTGGGTATATTGGTGGTGGAGAATGTGCACTGCTGGAGGGATGGATGTTTGATAATTGTGTGATTATAACTCAAACATGAAAGGTTGTAACTATATCTCATGGTGATTCAATAAAATAAAATAACAAAGAATTTTATTTTACACAGCAGCTAGAAGATAACTTTTTTTTACTACATTTAGCATTGATTTCTATGGAAAAGAATATATTATAAGAATATAATGTTGTATTCATTATTTATTTTTAGCATGTTGATTTTCACCTCTCTTGAAATAATTTTTATTGAAAACTATAAGCTCTGAGTTTATTCATTTACATAGTTAGAAAAAATTAACAGAATATTAGTGTCTTTAGTTCTCATGAAATTTAGCTAAGATTGGATTGGTACCATTGTATTTATTATTTTCCTCCTGTGACTTCTTATCAATTTATTTTCCTAGATAATTTAGCACAGAGGGTAGGGCGTTTGCCTTACAAGCGGCCAACATGGCCGACCCGAGTTCGATTCCTCCGCCCCTCTCGGAGAGCCCGGCAAGCTACCGAGAGTATTCGATATGCCAGACACAGTAACAACAAAGTCTCCAATGGAGACGTTACTGGGCCCGCTCGAGCAAATCGACAATCAACGGGAGGGCCTTTACCTTTACCTTTACCTTACTTTATAAGTATACTGTATTAAATTCCATAAAAATATGTATACGCTTATCATTTTATAATATTGTACATGTTTTTGTTTAGACCTGTAATTTCCTATGAAGTATTTAACAGTTTCATTCTCAGTTTTGTTTGTCAATTTTTGCTATTTAACATTAACATCATTTTACTAATTATTCCAGAGCTTTTAATTAAGTATCAAATTTTCTGTCTGTGGAGGTTTTACATTTCAAAATCAATACATTTCTTGTGCCCAGCTCATGTATTAGCATCTTTACTATTGATAGGTAATACCCTAGAATTTAAGAATATAATGATGTTCAACATTGTCAGGAGTGATAGCACAGTGGTAGGGTGTTTGTGTTGCACGTGGCCTACTTTGCCGACCCGGGTTCGATTCCTCTGCCCCTCTCGGAAAGCCCGGCAAACCACTGAGAATATCTCACCCACATGGCAAAGCCTGGCAAACTACCCTTGACGTATTTGATATGCCAAAAACAGTAACGAGTCTCACAATGGAGAGATTACTGGGCCAGCTCCAGCAAATCCATGAACAAGGGGAGGACAGTGCTATAATGTTCAACAACTAAGGATGTTACAGAGAAATTTACAGAGAAAGAGTTTGCACTTTAATGGGTCTTCAGTGACTCCAGAAATTACTACTTGCTGTAATACTTTTGAAATTGAAAAATTATGCTGTGCTTATATCTAAGACTGTATTCATAAAAAAGATACTTGTATACATCAACTTTAAATCTTAGAGAATGATTCTTAATAACTTTGTTTTCTAAGTTATACTCTACGCTTTTAAGAGTATATGCTATTTTTGCACTTATATGTTAGTTCCTTTTACCTTATTGCATTTTTATATTGTTACAAAGGGGCCAATGTTTATCTGCTTTGTCCTTTTACAAAGTGCATAGAATTCTGTGTTGTGAATATACCATGATTTATTTACCTGTGCACTATTACTGGCATTTTCCCTAATTTTTGAAAAGATAAATTATCTAATAGCACTCATTACATTCCCTCAAATTTTCTCAATCCTTTGTCCCATCCCTCATTCTCTTCACCTCTGGTAATATTAGTTTTGTTATGAATGTCAATTGTTTTATTTTGTTTTGTGCATTCACCAGCTTTTTCTCCTTATGTTACCCACATGTGAATAATCAACATTTCTTTCTCTTACTCTTTTTCTTCACATGATGTCATTTTATTTTTACTCTGAGGAATATAATTAAATCTTACTATCATTTACAGCAAAAGAATTCTGTTGTGTGTGTATATATTCCACATCTATATTTATCTATTGATGGAAACTTCGGTTCTTTCCTTATAATAAATCTTTTAAATATTGCATTGGATATAAATTCTGCAGTTAATGAGTTCATTTTTTTTGCTTTTTGGGTCACACCCAGCAATGCTCAGGGGTCATTCCTGGCTCTGCACTCAGGAATTACTCCTGGCGATGCTTGGGACCATATGGGATGCCGGGGATCAAACCTGGGTTGGCCGCATGCAAGGCAAACACCCTACCCGCTGTGCTATCGTTCCAGCCCGAGTTCATATTTTTGAAAGGCACCGAGAAGTGGGATTTCTGTGTCATAAAAAAGTCTATTTTTAGCTTTTTAAGGACTCACCATACTATTTTCCAAAATGGTTACAAATATTTGATTTCTTATATATAGTGTGTTAGAGTTCCTTTTTCTCCATGTCCTCTCTAATGCTTGTTATAATTTATTTATACATGTCATTTTTATGATTGTAAGATTATTTTGCATTGTGGTTTTGATCTGCATTTCCCTATAATTGATGAGTATATCAGTATATTCACTGATACTTCAGGAATCAGTTATTAGTTATTATAGTTATTTAGGATACTAAAACAGAATAAAGCTTTGCCCCATAAATATCTTATACAAACCGCTGAATCACAAAATGCTAGTGCTAAGAGGAAGATAGTGTTGGAGAAAAACAAAAAGAATGTGCTATCACCAAAAGCGAGATATGAAAATATATCAAGCAAACAGGAACAGTTTAATCATGTAATATATTGCTGAGAAGTTAAAATAATTTTTTGGATATGGAGTCATGGAGATAATCCAATCGCTTTTTATTTGGTTTTGGTTTTGGATCATACCCAGCTGTGCTGAGGGTTTACTCCAGGCTCTGTGCTCAGAGACCACTCCTGAACCCTCATAATTGTAATAGAAACATTTTCTGATGATTGGTATGGATGCATGCATGCCATTATGGAATTCTTTGAAGTTTATGATCCTTAGTGATATCTGGGATACCTCTCATTAAGTTAATACAGGAAGAATAAAGGATTTCCTAAGGAAAAATAAAAGGCTATCTCATACGCTGTAGCAGCACAAATGAAAATCTACTATCCATCTGGGTTCTTCTCAAACTCTGCAGATAATCTTTACATCATTACATGGGTTAGCAAAAGGATAAATCATTTTAATACATAGCAAAAATATTGAAGAAAAAACAGCAAACAAGATATTTATCCAGTGTTAAGATACCTGGATAGAATTTGGGGAATTCAGATAAAACGAAATGCATAAATTCATCTTTACTGTGCAGTAAAAAAATTTCTGATAGAAACAATATGTTCACTGATAAATTTATACCCTAAATTACCCTACAAACTAGCATTTTATAGGTCATACAAAGAGTTACTTATTGACAAGGAAAAGGAGAGGGGATTTAGACAAAGGGTATCTTTTCACGATCTAGGCCCTTCACTGCTCTTAAATTAAAACAGCATGTATTCCTAAAACAGGCTTCGTATTTCTAAGAAAGGCTAATAGTTTCTTAGAAGGTCCTCAGGGCCTCAATTGAATCTTAATTTCCACATAAAAAGGTGATATTCATGATATGCTACCTATTTATGATTTAATTTTTTACAGTTACAAAACTTTCATGTTTGAGTTTCTGTCATATAATGATCGAACACCCATCCCTCTATCAGTGTATATTTTCCCCATCTATGTCCCCAGTATTCTAAGCTTGTTGAATAAATCCCATCACAATCTGTTGGGGAAACTGATCCCATAGTATTGATCCGAAGGGATCATTTAGGAAGAGATTCTAAGCAACTAGCAAATCCTAGTATCTGAAACCCAAAAACCCAGTCTGGCTTGGGTATAAGGATTCAGAATTTATTTACCAGTTAACACACTTCCATGGTTTTTCTGTCTCATTTTGAAGTAAAATCAGCAATTTTTATTTGTGTATAAAAACATAGTGATGCACATGTGCATCACAGTTTTCAAAGGATATTGTCGACAGATTAATGAAACATACTACCTTAGTCATCTATAAAGACTCTTGAATATTCTCTTAAATAGGTTAAGGCAGTTAATAGCTAAAGTATATATTCTCTGAGACTGTTATCTCCGTCAATGAAATTACTGTACAAGTTAGACATCATTATAAATCCAAACCTAATTAAAGTGGATAGTCCTATTTAGGCAGTTTGCCTTTAAAAGAAGAGAAAGTTAAAAAAAAAACACAAGACATTAATTTTTATCTTGTACTTATATCCTAGATTTATTTGAATTTCCACCTTAAATTATTCATGACTATTCATCTCAATTAGTCAAGTAGAAGTAAAAGTGCTTGAAAAAATTTTTATTTTGGGTGGTTGGAGCGATAGCACAGTGGATGGGGCATTTGCCTTGCACATGGCTGACCCAGGTTCGATCCCCAGCATCCCATATGGTCCCCCA